GGGGCGTGGAGGAGGAGCAGGACAATTAGTCTGCGCGGCGCTCCCAGCCACATGGAATATGACAGGTTCCTGATAAACAGACCCCCGCCGGTCCCAAGGAAAGGCGCGCCGACCTGCCGGAGCGTGTTTCACCGGTTATTACATGGCGCGCGGTGGCGGTCTGCCTCCCACGTGCGGGCCAGGCGCAGTTCGCCGCTCCGGGGAAAAGCCCCCGGCCCCGAGGCCCGAGACAAGGGCGAGGCCCGGCGCCGGGGCGGGGGCCCCGGTAACCGGATGCCCTTGGCACCGAGGCGGGCACATCGCCCGGCCTCCAGGCGTCGAGGCCGGCGAAACAGCCGGCCCGGCCTGGCCCGGACCGCGGCCTACCAAGGGAACCGGCCAACTTCTTGGTAAGCCTGCCGGGGAAAGGCACCCCACACACACACACGCACACGCACGCAGGCCCCCATACCACGGCGGTGGGAACAGATCGGCAGGCGGCCCCGGGCCCCAATACACTCTCGCCCGATTGCCACGCCGGGACCCGAGCCGCCCCGCCCCCTTTCCCCTTGCCTGCGGGGGATGCAGAGCCCCTTAACCGACGAAAGGGGCAGCACCCTGCACGAAAGGGAAAATATGGCACTTTGGGGACGACACAAGCCGGCCAGAGAGGGCCAGCACGGGGTGGGAAATGGTCTGCGTGGGGCGCGCCCCGGAAATGGGGCGTGGAGTAGTGTAGTGGGAGGCTCGGCTGCTGGCGCTGCCGCCGTGTGTTGCCCTGTCTTTCACACACACATATGTCGGGAGCCACAACCACACGCGCCGGCACAGCAAGCAAGCATGCGCAGACATGCGCGTGTGGGGAAAAAATCCCACACGGGGCGAACCAGGAGGGGGAATGCCAGCCGGGGGGGGGGGGGGGGTCGAGGCCGTCGCCAGTCAGGCGGCACCTGGCCCCCGTCCCCATGGGGAGGGGGGGGGGCGAGACACGGGCAGACACACCACACACACGGACCAGGACCCCCCTTCAGGCACACACGCACGCAAGTGCGCACATAAAAAAGGGAGGGAGGGAGAAAAACAGGCGCCGCCCAGTCCGCGTGCCATCACGTGCAAGCGGCACATGACTAGGCGCTATGGAGGCGAATCGAGCCGATCTTCACCAGCCAGGAGATGTACTCATTGAACTCCACGGTGCCGGAGTTGTCCTGATCCAGCTCGGCGAAGGCCTTGTCGAAGGTGAGGTTGTAGAACTTCCGCTCGATCAGGGTGTTGTGCAGGTTGCGGAACTCCTCGCGGCTGAGGACGCCGGAGCCTGCACCAAGCGGTTGCGAAAGAGGGGCACGGCCCGAGAGAGGGGACAGGGGGGGGGGGGGACGGGACAGCCGGGCACGTTAGCCAAGGAGCGCCAGGAAGACCATGGAAAATGGGGGGGGGGGGGCAGAGCGTCTCTTCCCAGTAGGCGAGGGCCCGGCAGACGCACGATCCTTGTCGAAGTAGAGGAAGAAGTCGACGCAGTTCTTGAGAATGTCCTCGTCCTCCGGGGACATCTTCTCAAACTGGTCGAAGCGGTCGGACTGGCGCCACCTACATCGGCAGGGGGCCCGGGCAAATGCAAGCAGAGGCGAGCGCCGCGGGAAACCAAAGGAGACGAGAAAGGACGAATCCCGGTCAATGTGCCATGGAAATGAACGGCCTGTGCGTGGGATGCATGGGTGCGCCCGCGCCATCAAACGACGTACCAAACGAGGAACTCGTCGTAAGAGATCTGGCCATCGCCCGAGGTGTCGATCGAGCGGAAGGTCTGAGACATCCGGGCGCGGAGTCGCGTGTGAGTTGCCCTGCTCCTCGCATCACGAAGGCCATACCAAACATGGCAACAAAGCGGGAGCGCTCGAGAGAAGGAGGAGAGCCACGTACGAGATCGGTCTGGGTCTGGGTCATGAAGTGGCCCATGGAGAGGGCCATCTGCTGAAACTCGAACTTGTCGATGCTGTTCGAGCCATCGGCATCGTAGCGGTGGAAGACGCGCTTCGAGAGGGGGGGAATGTTCATGGTGGAGGAAAAGAGGGAGGAGGGGAAAAAAACGGCCAAAAGGGAAGGGGGCGATGCCTTGAATTCAGGGGGAAAAAAGCACAGAAGGAAGGCTTAAAAAGAACCCCCTGACCCGAGGCGCCCGGGGGAAATTGATGTCCTGCAATAAATGTGGACCACTTGATATTGGGATGGTCGCATAATTATTACACCTTTTATGACAAAATAGTGCCTGTATTTTGTATTTACGAAACACCAAGAATGTTATCCACAAAATATTGCTCATCCGTATGCGCAAGTAGTACAAAATTGAATGTGTAATGAATGGGGCTCTATTGAAGTCCCGCCTGCCTGGTGCGGCTACTTCTTCCGTGCGGGGCATGTTCGACCGAACACATTCCAGCCCCCGGGCTCGGCCGATCACTTCCGCGAGCTTTCTTCCCGGCGCCGGCGGCGCCCGCCCCCTCTCTTTCTTTCTCTCCGGCGGCTGGGTTCTGCCCTGCTCGCCGCATCCAAGATCACAGCTTCGCCCGAGGCCCAAGAGATGCGACCACGCCCTCGTCTCAGCTTGCCACTCCTGCTCATGCTTGCCCACCCCCGCGCTTCCTCCCGCAGCATGGCTCCAGATCTCCGGACAATGCCCTTTTGGCACAGATCGCCTACGATACCTCGGAGCCTGCCATGTGCTGCCCAGGCATATGCCATGCGTGCATGTGCCTCCTCATGTTCCCTCCATCCCGACTATCCCACCCATCCCGTCCATCCTGCTGACCTCCTCTGCCGAGCCCGCCCCAGGCACCCGGTTCGTCCCGCCTCGAGTTTCTCCTGAGACCAAGGAGGCGGGGATCTGCGTCTCCCTTCCTCAAGCGGTGGTGAACTGCCCCGTGCCTCGTGCTGGCCACGCACCGCCCACCTCAACTTTGCTCCAGTCCCTCCCCCCGCTGGTCAGCCGCACCGCCACTCCCTTCAACAGGCACTCCGCGACGCATCCTCAGCATCCTGTCCTCGTTCCCTCCGGCAGCCTCCCGTGTGCTAGACGCCGTCTCCGACTTGGGTGCCTCCCCTCCGCACGGGGCCACTCATCTCCCTTCCGTGCCGCGGCCATCTGTACCGGTCTCCGCCTGCCTCCCTTTCTCCTCCTGGCTCCTCTCCGCCCCCGTGTCCTCCCATCTCCGCCGACGTCGATCAGCCTCACTACCTGCGTCGCTTGCTCTTCCTCGCCCATCCTCCCCTTTCCGAGGCATCTCTTCCCCTTTTGAACCCCCTCCGTCCGGCATGTGGGCACTCGTGTTCGGGCAGGGATCGCAGAGCTCTTTGCGACCCCTCCCGCCCTCGCTCGACCTTTACTCCTCGCCCGGTCTAAAGCCCTTGCCCTGGCAATCCCCTAGATAACTCCTCCGTTGGTGCTGTCTCCGGCGAAGGCAATGCGGGCACCTCTTCTTCATGGTGCCTTTCCCGGCCCCACAGCTTGCGGATGGGTTGACCATCGGAGCTGACCGCTCTCGTGTCTCCTTTCCCCTGTCTCCCTGGTCACCCAGTCAGAGGGCGATCTACCTCGGCTCGTCACTGGCCAGCGACCTGCCACAGCTGAAGGTCTGCTGGGGAGTACATGGTTGGACCTCCGCACCTTCGTTGTCTCTGTCCAGGAGATTGATGCCGCGTAGGCATCCTCCCTGGCGGACAAGCTCGCCAAGGGTGTCCCCGGAGCCCAACCTCATGGCCTGGACCTTACACGGACGGCTGATGCCGAGGCGAGCGAGGCCAACCCAAGCGCGGAAGGAGGGGCGGGGCCTGTATGTCGGCCCTTGAATCGGGACAGGCGTTAGTTTGTGTGTGTGTGTGTGTGTGTGTGTGTGTGTGTGTGTGTGCGTGTGTGTGTGTGTGTGTTTGTGGGGGGAGGGGGGGAGGGGGAGGGCACCGCACAATGGACCACCCCCAGAGCAGCATGAGCCCGGACACGGGCGGGTGTGCGTGAAGCCGCTTCGATCTCGGTCCGAGGGGGGCAAAACCCCGGATCAGAGCCGGTCCACCTCCGGGAGTGCGTGCGCACACACACACGCGCACACACACGCGCACACAGATGCAGCAGGCACTTCGGACATTGGGTGTGTATTTTGTAGAAAAAATGACATGATCTCCTGGGGGGAGGGGACGCAGGGCGGCCCATCGCAGGCGCCATCGTCCTCGGGGGCGAGACAAAGGCCGGAAGGGCTGTCCTCAGGGGATTGGACGGGTGGCGGGCAGGGCAGAGGACGCGCGTTGGCCTTCCTCCCCCATCTCAATCGGCGGGGAGCCAGGAGCGCCCGCCGCCTAGGTGGAGCCCTTGGTGTTGCGGATCATCTTGGCCATGTAGTCCCACTCGGCCTCGGTGACCTGCACGAGCTCGTTGAACTCGCCGGACATGAAGGCAGTCTCGCCACCGTCAAAGTTGAACACCTGGAGCCGGAAGTGCGGCCAACACGAAAGCGCCAGCAAGGTCAGCGAATTCCGAAAGGCCGGCAAGAGGTGAAAGAAAATAAACCCCGCCCCCATGATTCCATCCCCCCTCCCCGCCTTCTTCGCCGTACCTGGCCGGTGATCCAGGAGGCATAGTCGCTGGTGAGATAGGTGGCGAAGTTGGACAGCTCCGGGACCTCGCCGAAGCGGCCGGTCGGCAGCCGGTCGATCATGAGCTTGCGGAACTTGCCGGTCGGGTCGAGGCGGCTGAAGGCCCCCTTGGTCTCAATCGGACCCGGGGCAATGCCGACAAAGCGGAAACCATAGCGGCCCCACTCCGAGGCCAGCGACCGGATGAGGGCGTTGACACCGGCCTTGGCCGCGGCCGAGGGAGCCACAAACCCGGACCCCAGGTCGGCGTAGGTGGTGGAGATGCAGAGGACATTGGCCGAGCGGCCGGCCTTCAGAAGGCGCTTGCCGGCCTCGAGGCTACGCCAGCGCGGCGGAAGGGAGAGACCCCGGACAACGGGCAACCGGGCAGGCCAGCGGCCAGGCATGGGCGGTTAGTCTGGCAGCGCGTGGGAGGGGCAAGGGCAAGGCCCGGCCGAGGGGCAGGAGGAAGACGCACGTCACGTAGGCTGTGCCATTGAGGACGATGTCGGTGATGGACTTCCAGCCATTCGGCGAGAGGCGCTCGAAGGGGGAGATGAAGTTCCCGGCACTTGAGAGGGACAGAGAAGCGAGGAAGAGGGGCCTGTGTCAGCATTCGGCAGATGGCGCCATCCAAGCGGCAGAGGGGGGAGGGGAGGGGGAGCGCGGAAAAGACGGTGGCGAGGCAGGCGCATGAAGAGCCGGAGGAAGAACGCACGCGTTGTTGACAATCACATCTGGGAGACCGGCCGCCTGCTCGCAGGCGTCCAGGGCCTTGGACACGGACTCCGGATCGCGCACATCGCACGAGGCGAAGTACACCGGGTTGCCAGTCTGCGCGGAGATCTCCTCGGCCGTGGCCTGGAGAACCTCCTGCGTCCGGCTGACAATGAAGACCGTGGCCCCGAGCTCGGAATAGCGGGTGGCCATGCCCTTGCCGAGCCCGGTACCGCCGCCGGTAATGAAGACCACCTTCCCGCGGTACGAGTCAGCCGGAAGCAGGGCCGTCAGCTTCGGCTGGAAGCTGGCCTGGGCCACTGCCGAGACGCCGGAGTCGGAGGTGGCCGCGGCGGCAGCCGGCGCGACGGCCGTCAGCTCCGAGATGTACAGGCGCATGGCCTCCTCGCGGGAGGTGCCCTTCAAGGAGTTCCAGGCGTCCCACTTGTAGCGGCCAGCGAGATCAAACATGCCCGGGCGGTCTGCCAAGCAGATTCATCAGCCGAGGGGCGACGGGGGAAGCCAGGCGAGGATGCGCAGGAGTGAGCGAGGGTGGAGAAAGGTGGGCCAGGGTGAGCCAGACTGGACGATGCCGGACGAGGGGGAACCAGTGGGGGGGGGGGGGGCGGGTCGAGCAATCGAGATACACACACACACGCCCACACACACGCCCAACGGGTGTAGCAGGAACAGAGCGCCATGTCAGACATACCAGTGGCCACATCGCCCTCCTTGGCTTGCTTGAAGAGGGAGTAAAAGCGCAGCTTCTTGTCATTGTCCATGGACAGGATGGCCGATGCCTGATCAGCCACGGTCTGCTCGAACTTGGCCAACAGCTCGGCCCCGGAGAGCTGGGTCGAGAAGGCCCGGCGGCCGGTGCTGGCAGCAGACTGGAGGAGGCGCGCAGCTGCGCTTGGGGCAATGCGGGAAAGCATGGTCGAGGGAAGGAGGCGAGCGGGGGGGGGGGGGAGAGAGAGAGAAGGAGGGAGAGGAGGGATGCGGGCGAAGGCAAAGGAACGCGCGGGGCACAGGAGCGAAGAGAGAAGAAGGCAATCGATGGGGGCCAATTGTCTGGCCAGCCCCGCCGAAGGACCCTGGGGCCCTGTCACACGGCGGCTCATATGTATTCTCCGCTCCGGCGCCGAGATGCGACGGCACCGAGAGCACCCTCCGGTGCATCTCAATACCCCGTACCACACACACACAAACACAGAAAGACAGACAGTCCCCCCCGGTTGTGCCCCGCTAGTTAGACATGCCCGGTTCCCAGCCGGCTGCAATGTGAAGCCCAGCTGGCAGGAGAGAAACGACGTCTTGGGAAGCGCGTGAAAGTGGCCCCGTGATCGCATGAGATCTTTTCTAAACAATCGGCAGCTCTGCCCGCCCCGCGCCCCCCCCCCAGTCCTTTGCATCAGCATCTAGTGCCTGCCTGGGGAGAGTCTGCTGATCGGCTCCTGGGCCGCGGCTCCCCACAGCCGGCCCCCCGCCGGCGGGTCTTCTCCCGCCCAATTGCCCCGGCCTCGCCTCTCCCCCTGCCTTCCCCTCAGCCAGCACCCGGCCATCCACAGGGAACAAGGAGCAAGAAAGCATGCTTATTGAGGCAGGGGGGGCCGGATGGTGTCCGGCCCAAAGTAGATATCTGAAAAAGGACAGTGTCTAGGGGCATTCCAGCATAACTGGCGCTGGAATCCACTGACGAAGGACGAGAAAAGGACAGAGGGGGTGTGCAGCTGCACACATGCAAATAAAAAGGTGAGCCAAGACCATAGTGAACCAGGACGGTGGTGAACCGGATCACAAAAGAGCCCAGGCTCATATCGTGGCCAAATGGAGGAGGACCAAGGAAAGCGGGCAGGTCCCCCAGCATCATCATCAGCATCAACAACAACAACAACAACAACAACATGCGTGTGACTGTGGCCGGCGCCGCGAGACACGCTGGGTCGCCGCCGGAAGGGCGCCAATGTGCCTTGTGGGCCGACAAAGAAGAGAGAAAGAGACCATGCGACATGGACGACTGACCATGCCGGTGGGGGGGACCGAGAGAGGGGAGGCCCTCAGTAGAGCGCCCAGACGGCCTCGTAGGCCACCTCGGGCAGGGCCTTCAGCATGCGGATGAGCGGGATCTCCTTGCCCACCTGGTACTTCACCTTGGGGAAGCGCGAGAAGAGAGCATGCTGAATGGCCTGAACCACGAAGTCCGGGGACATGCTGCGACGATAGGACCCATTGAAGAAGGCCAACGACCGCTCGATGCGGTTCTCCGGATAGGCGCCCTGGATTTCCTTGCAAACGGTGCCACGCTTCTCGGTGATCATGGCCGTAATGCGGCTGATGAGGTTGGTGTAGGCGAAGCCCGGGACCACCTCGCACACGGCGACCCCCATGTGCTTGGTTTCCTGCCGCAGGGCTTGCGTCATGGCCGACAGGGCGCTCTTGCTGGCCGAATAGAGGGACAAGCCAGGGATGGGGATAATCGACGAGGCACTGCTGATGTTGATGATTCGCCCACGCGTGCGGCGCAGGAAGGGCAGGCACATCTTGATCATGGCCAGCGGCGCGAGGAAATTCACCTCCAGCACCTGGCGTGCCTCCTCCATGGTAGACCACTCCACCAGGTAGCCCTGACTGATGCCGGCATTGTTGACCACGGCACCCAGGCCCTCCGGGCAGACGGACTGGATGAGCTTCTGGCAGCGCTCCAGGTCCGCGGGGTTGGTGACATCCAGCAGGAAGGGGATGAGATTCGGCCGGCCGGAGCTTTCCAGCACCTTGACGCCGGTCTCGGTCAGGCAGCCAGCCAGGACGGGCTTGTTCTCATTGGCCAGTGCCTCGACCAGCAGCCGACCGAAGCCAGTGTCGCAACCCTACCATCCGAAGGAGGCCATGCACCAGGGACAGAGGGGGGGGGGGGGAGAAAGAAAGGAGAGTCAGTTGGGGTGGTGAGTGAGGGAGTAGGGGTGAAGTGGCCGTGGGCAAGGCTGCACACGGGAAAACACGCACCGTGATGAGAGTATACAGCTCCTCACGGGGAGTCGACAGCCGGGCCAGGTCCCGCTGTTGCCCCGGGAAGAAGGGGAAGAAATTGATGTTGGCTACCACCGATGTGTTGACATATTGCACAATCGCATGCACGGTGTAAAGCAAGAAAATGAAGGCTATGCCATCGACAAGGAGACTCATGGCTGGCTGACTGTGGGTGCAGATCATGCGGTGGAGAGGCAGAAAAAGAGAGAAGGAGGAGGGAAGTCCACGAGTCAGTGGTCGGTGCCAGGGAAGAGGAAGGCCAAGCAGGGCCTGAGATGAAGGTGACGAAGACGCATGTACCTTGAAAGGTAGAGGGGTGGCACAGGCAGGCGTGTGGATGTGCGCGTGCGGCAAAGAAAATGCAAGCGAGAGGGATCGAGCGGAGAGGGAGAGGGAAGGACCAAGGGCAGGATACTGGCTTGTGAATTGTCATCTGGAACTCGATGCCGGATCCTTTTATAGTGGCCGTGGAACACTCGGGTGCAGATCGCTGCAGCCCGAGAGGCAGGAGACACAAACGAAGATCACCGCAGGCCAACACACGGCCAACGAGGGCCAGGGAAACCCCAACACCCAAGCCACGAATCAAGAGGCCACATTCCACAGAGTGTGCTGGGTTGCAAAAACCGCCGACGCTTCGCCTCCCGGGCTGTTGGAGGCCACCATCCCGGGCGCCATTAGTCGAGGACATCACTTACGCGCGCGCGCGCGCGCGCGCGCGCCCGTGCACGTATGCATGGATTGCTTCCGGAGTTTGCGCCCCACCACATCGGTGCCCGTGGCCAAGTTTGCCCTGTCCAGCATACGCCAGCCAACCGGCCTGCTGTAGGCATGTAACTGCTCTCGCGATCTGCGCCTTGCCTCCGAAGGCACCGCCTCCCGGTCGAGGCACCTGCATGGGACCATGGGCGAGCGCCAACTGAAACATGGCGTGAGACCAGGGAGAATGGAGCCGGGGGTGGACCGTGTGTCATGGACTTGGGGCGAGGCCCTTGCGCCTCACTTGAGCGGGCCCGCCTCGCATGTCAAGTCCCTCCGAGGGGGGCGGGGGTAGCAACCCCGAGTGCACCTCTTTCGAGCGTGCTTGGACTCCTTTCCGTCGCGGTCCGACTTCAATGCGCCAATGGTCCGCGGACAAAAGGCCTATTGGTGGGCCCCTGCGCGAGAAGTGCCCCTGCCCCGGGGGGGGGGGGGGGGGAAGGAGGAAGAGAGGCGAGCGGCAGCGGGGGAGAAGGAGCCCCAACGCCGGGAAGCCCGGTGGAAGGAGGCGCCTAGGAAAGCAGGGGCCTCGGCGAGCAAACTATCCCCCTGGACAAGGCCGAACACCGACCAAACCCGCGCGACTGGCCGCCATGTGCATGTGTCGGGGAGAGCCACCGCTCCCGGACCTGGGAATTTCGGTGCCGGCTTTTGCGCGCGAACCCGGCGCCCAGACGACCGAAAGCCCGGCAAATGTCGTGTAACGGCAAGACGACATGCAGAGTGGCCATGCCGGCGGTGGGAAAGTAGCCCAGGGGACGGGCACCGGGGATCTAAGGTGGGAAACTTCCCAGGGGGGGGGGGGCCTGCACCGAGAAGCCCATTCACCGAGACCGGGGAAGTTCGCAGGTACCGAGGCGAAGCCCACGGCGAGGGCGAACCACATGCATCGCAATATGCTGCCCCTGGAGGGGACCTCCACCAGAGGGGGAAGAGGTAGAAAAAAGAGAGGGGGGAGCGGCCCGCAAACTAAACAGACGAGGCCAATGGCCTCGGGCCGTTCATGGGACGCCTCTGCCCCGGCCCATGTCACCCCAGGCCCAATGGGCCACGGGCACCGGGCGAAAGCGGCCAAATCGGGGGATGTCGCGGTATGGCCGCCGTGCCTGGAACTCGCCCTCCAGGCGAGGGAGAAAACCAAGATCTGATCAGCCTTACAGGGCCCCATGCGCTGGGCGATGCGCGTCCTCGACCGGCCGAGGATCGGAGAGGCAGAAAGAGGTAGGGCCAGAGTCTGCGGAAGGAGCAGGAGAAGGGCCGGATCGGCCGATCGCGTGGAACACCGGCCACCAGAAACCCTGCACGAGTGGCTATCGGCCCGACCCAGTGGCCAGGCAGTTATGCGCCAGGAGGTGGAGCCGAGCCCGACTCGGAGGGGGGGGGGGGGGGGGGCAGTTGCGAAAGCGGAGAAAAACAGCCAGCCAGAGTGCCTCGAGGGCACATGGTCCCAGAAAGCAGGGTTAAGGAGCCAGCACAGTCCCCACAAGAGCATGGCGCAGACCAGGAGCGCACAAAAGGTGGCCACGGCGGGGGGG